AATCACCCCCTGCTTTAACATATGAGAAAACTCACCCATAATTTCCATTTACTTTTATATTTTTAAAATATTTACACCTATAAGTTTTCTTCATATTTTGATGCCAAGATCCTGATGTCATTTACTTGATTCTTAAATTCATGTGACTTATTAAGGTAAGAATCTCATGGCTTGTTTAATGAAAGAGCTAGTATATCTTGAGACCTATTCTAGCACATCCTCACGCAGTAAAGAAAACAATAATCATGAGTTACATATTCTCATTGTCTACTGTTTGTACATGAAATATAGAAAGCAGTAAGAAATGACAACTGAATGAATCAGTATCACTCAAGGAAGCAGGACAGTATCTGTAGATAAATTCTGCAGGGAGCCATAGGGTAGAGGCTTAGCCACCAATTCACTGCATTACCCTGAGCTAACCACAATCTCTCTGATTTCCAGATTACTCGACTGTCATTTTTTAGGTTTAACTAACATTTAGATAGATCACAGATGCACCAGACACTACTTGAAGGATTCTAAACAAATAATTCTAAACAAATAATTCACTTCATTCTCACAATAACTTATGAGCAGGGCCAGCTTCCTGGGCAGTAGTACACAGAGTCTCATGTTCAGAAGGGTCCCACATTTGGTTTAATTTTCAGCTGCTGCCATCCTGAAAATTGAATAAGGGATCCAGCATGTTCATTTCATTGAAATCTGAACAAGGGGCTCTGTAAATTATGTAGCTAATCCTGTCAATAAGGTAAGAACCATTATCACCCACATTTTATAGATGGGGAAACTAAGGTGAAGAAAGATTAAGTAACTTGTCCCAAAGCTGGCTATTATTGGAGCCAGGTTGCATGCCATGACCATCCACTGCAATTAAGAGAGACATCGGAAGCCATTAATGCTAAATTCCCTGACACTTCTACTATTCCATTAAAGTCCTTTAATAAAAAAGAATGTTGATTCATTCTTTGCTCCTTCCATCAATGCTTTTTATAGGTGCAGAATTGCAGTGGATAAAGAAAAAGAGATGCATTCATAAACAAGCCAAATTTGAAAAAAGAACTGCTTAGCTAAATGAAAGGTGAGAGGGTTTTAAATGGTGTGGCAGGGGCTTAGCTATTTAAATGACAAACTAAACAGGATACCTTTTGGCTATTTCAGACTCTGATCCTCAAATTAGAGCTTTTAAGAGTGGGATCCAGAGCCCTACATGGGAAAGACCAAGTTAGCCAGGAATGGTGAGGCCATAGCAGAGGCAGGACACATCAAAGGAAGTCCTCTGTACTTCCTTTTATAGATGTGAAAACAGCCCAACCACCTGGTTGTCCAATGGGCAAACATAAATAAAAAACTTGCATCAGCTGTGGATCAAATAGTAAGGAAAAGAGGGCTCTGAGTCAAAGGTCAAATCCCTTGTGGAGAGAAGCATCTGGTCTCCTGGGTTCCCAGAAGTCCTCTTCTACCCTTTCCATACCCACCTTCTACCTACAGTAACCTTGAGTGTTCCACTTTGACTAAAATCTACCAGCTCAGAGCAATGAAATATGGACCTTCCTCATTAAACCAGGACCTGATCTACACCACATAAGTTCTGAGAGGTTTATTATTATTATTATTATTATTATTATTATTACTGTTATTAATTATTTGTCATGTTTCCATCTTCACTTTACTTTTTTAAATAAAACTTTTGTTTTATTTCTTACAAAATTAACTTCCAAATATAGGCCAAGGTTAAAAAAAAAAAAAAAAAACACCTAATTTGATCTAAAATGACGCTTCCAAAGAGAACCAAGAAAATTACTATTCTAAATTAAGCAGTCTTCATTACCAAAACTTTACCCAGTGCAGACCAGAACCATGTGAGTAAGTCTGAACAGACTTAGTAACTGATAGTGAAATAAGCATTATATGAAAATGAATGGTTTTAAAGACTCAAGAGTTCTCTGACAAAATGCCCATTTTCTGATTGAATTAAGTAGAGCCAATGAGTTCTCACAGTGCTTTTGACTATTGTGATTTTCTAATTGACTAATAAAGGTCTCTATGCCTGCTAATATTTAATCAATTAGACAACCATAGTGCCTTCAGGGGGTTCTCCCAACTATCACCCTGCTCAGAATTACCTAAAGAGCTTTTCCTGATCCCAAATCCTTTCTGCATTTGTATGTCATGGGACACCCTGTCCCTCCAATCTGGTCTGGAATTCCCTTCAATGACTTTACTGTTCTGTGTGTAACAAAAAGTCAGAAAACACTAACTTAAAAAGAACAAGGTAGAAAATGCTCAGGTGGAGGTGATGGTTGGCAACCAGGGAACACAGAAAACTGTCTTGCTTTGATTCTTGAACCTTCCGCAGCTGCACAGCTCACCATCTACTGGCATCACTTTACTATTCTAGGAAACTCTTTTTTTTTTTTTTTTAGTTGTTGATGGATATTTATTTATTTATTTATTTATTTATTTAGTAGTCAGTGCTGAGAATCAAACCCAGTGCCTCACACATTCTAAGCAAGTGCTCTACCACTGAGCTACAATCTCAGCCCCTCTGGGAAATTCTTGATGAGGAAGATGTAGTTTCAAATAACTTGGGTGTTTCAGAAAATTTCTACAAATTCACTTATCTAAATATGAGGATACTCACTGGTGTTCAATAAAGAAAAAACAAAACTTCTCAGAACAACAGATCCCTTGACCAGGCTTATCAAATGATTCTTGGTACTTCTTGACTGGTTTCACAAATCTTACTATGCCCCAAATTCTGAACCATCATATAACAAGCTTTGACCAACCTAAACCAAGCCCCACCACATTGAAAGACGCGTCTTAAACCAGACCCAGAAGCATACTACCTTTATTTTCCTGGCCCCAAGAAGCCACTTGAAAACTACTTTGCTTTATCAACATTTTTTAAATCTAGGGATCTTTAAAGGGAGTCAGTAATCAGTACTCCTTTCTCCTCTGCTACTGACTCCAACAATTTGGTCTTCTCCAGCCAAGCAACAAGCTACTGGCAAGAAGGCCTAGGAGTCTGTGGGAGTTGCGGAGAGAAATGGTGCAAGGTTTCTCCCCAGTGAGTCAGGAGAGGACCTGGAGACTAGCAGTGGAGAACTGAACCAAACCTGCATGGGTCTATAGAACTCTGGGGAAATGGTCTCCCTGTCCTTCAAAAGGTGAACTGAGTCCTCCCTGACCTTGAGGCTGGGAAAGCATAAGAGAAGAGGAAAATAATTTTTCCTTCAGATGTCTCAGCAATAGGCTATACTGCCTATATCTCTTCTGCCTGCCCATGAGACTTGGCTCCCATTTGGAGACCTGAACAAGCAGAATTATACCACAGTGAATGGACAAAGAAAAACAGACCCACATAGAAGAAGACTCAGCAGTCAGAGAGAGAGAGAGAATCAGTCAGACTGTTCAGATTTAGCACACACAAACAGAAATAGAAATGGAAGAAAGTACCTTGGGGAAAACAATGAAGGAAGTCCAAATTCAGGTCCAAAAACAGTTTGAAGCTAAAAATTATAATTTTCCATCTAACATTGCATGAGATGAGTTGGAAGAAAGAAAGATCATATTGAGAACCAAAATAGTGGTGGAAAATATCTAATGGAATAAATAGCTTGAAGCACAAAGCAAAAATATAAATAGATATAAATCACAAAGGAAAACAATTTTGAGAGGAAAATGGCTATGGTCCATAAATTCTACATCCAAATCAGCTACTATATAAACAATAACGAAGCTTCCAAGGCACAGAGGAAGATGAAAAGAGAAAAAAAATGAGGGATAGATAGAGATAGATGCTATGTGTGTGCGTATATATATACGCACACACATAGTTTGATAATATATGTGTAAATGAATAATGGCATAATATTTGGAAACACAAATAAAATTATTAATAAGTTAATACTTATGAAATTATAGAACAGTTTCTATAGTTTGATAGACATCCCCATGAGGATGGTACTAGTATTAAGCCCTTTTCACCAAGGAAGAAACCAAGGCACAAAGTGATTAAGTAACTGATACATAGACACAAAATCAGGAAGTAGCAGAGCCAGCATTCAAACCCAAACAATTTTGCTCCAAACATTTTATACACAAGGTCTCCAGTGACTCTTTTATATTTTATTTTATTGTAACCTGTCATTTAAGGGAATACTAGTGTTTTCTTCTAAATAGGATGTAAAATTTGTTCCAAATACTCTTCCTCAGTGCTGCCTGTCAAGAAATCAAATGTAACTGTGATATAGCAACCCTTCCCAGGTATATTGACAAGTATGTGTGTGATCTCAGAATGCACAGGTGACATAGATATGATAGGACAACTGGTAATGGTGGATTCATTTACATTGTTCACACTTCTATGTTCAGTGACTTCTAAAGAAGAAACATGCAATGAGGAGAAATTCTAACATTTGTATAGACTCAGAAGTTCTCAAATATTTCACCCAGTATTGGAATTGAGAGTTGAAGTTGTGGAAGGGGAGACTGGAGAGTAGAAGGGCCTCTACCTCATCTAGGCAGAGGGGGAGTAAATGTATTCTGTATGAGTCTTCTCATCAAGGTGGCAGTGAAGCATGGTGAGTAAGGCATGTTGGTAAGGGAAATAATTGCTATCTTGTCTTCAAAAATGGTAAGGAAATATACAAATATATATATATGAGAACCAAAAAGTATGAACAAAATGGAAAAACATAATAACCATCAATGGAAAAACAATGAATTGCAACTTGATCAAACATACCAAAAAAAAGGAAAAAGAGAAAATAATAGTCTAAAGTAAATAACAAGGACACTGGGGATGTAGTTTAGTATTAGAATGCTTGCCTGGCATGTGTGAGGCCCAGAGTTCAATTCCAAATTTAAAAAGAAAACTGAATAAATAATAACAGATAAAATATAAGGAATTAAAGTCTATGTGTTAGTCTTTCTGCACTGTGGCAAATCCTGAGAAACACGACTTAGAGGAGGAAAGGTTTATTTTGACTCACGGTTACAGAGGTTTCAGTCCACGGTTGGCTGGTTCCAGTGATTTGGGTCTTAGGTGCTTTTGAGTCGTATCATGGCAGCAGGAGGGTGGCAGAAGAAGCTGCTTAGCTTATAACAACCAGAAAGCAGAGAAAGGTCAGGTGCTGAGGAAGGGGCTGGGGAGCAAATAAACCCTTCCAGGGCATGCCCCTAGTGACCTACTTCCTCCAACTACCTTCCATCACTCAGTAGTCTATTCATCTGCCATCAAATGGATTAATCTATTGAGAAGGTCAGAGCCCTCCTGATCCAATCATTGCCTAAAAGCCCCACCTCTGAACCTTGCTGCATTGGAGATCAAGCTTTCAATATGAAACTTTGGAGGACATTTCAGATCTAAACCCTAACAGTCTAATAGATCAATCATTAAACAACTGGGCTAAAAGCCAAATCCTAGCAATACACCAGTCCTCTCTTAACTCTGGGGAACACATTCCAAGATACCCAGCAGATACTGGAAACTGTAGACACTCTGAGCCCTGAATATACTACGCTTTTTCCTATATGTAGATCACCAGGAGAAAGTTTAACTTAAAAATTAGACTCAGTAAGAGAATAACAACAATAACCAATAAAAAATAGAATAAATATAGCAACATTCTATAGTAAAAGTTATGTGAATGACATCCCTCTCTCTTCCAAAGTGGGAGATGGTGCAATGCCTGTGTGCTGAGATGAAGTAGAATGAAAGATGGCCTCAGAATGGTAGGCAATATAAAATATACAAGTTATTTCTTTCCAGAATTTTCCACTTAATATTTTCAAGTGGAGTTGAAACTGTGGGTAACTTACCAAGGGGCTATATGAACAACATCTAAAACAATGTGATAAAGAAATATTTCCCTCTGTAAGGATAGAGGAGTGCGTCCAATTTTATTCCTTCTAAGAACTGCAGACACAGAGACTTAGGAGAGTTAGAGAAGAGACAACACAGTTTGGGTTTGAGAAGCAGGTTGTAAGAATGAAACACAGTTTAGTGCACCAGAGGGTTTAAGCTATCAGTGGTTAAGGAGAAGAGCCAACTTCATCTGCAGTGCAGAATCCTCAAGTGGCTCAGGAATTGATGGCACCAGGTACCTCTGGCAGGGGCCAGAGATGGGGGGTGGATGAATTGGAATCTGTCCAACACACAGTCAGACCTTTCCTTCCCTTTCAACTCTGAGCTTCTTTCCCACCCCGGGAGAAAATGGTGCTTTATCCTCTGGAAAAAGGGAAAGAACAGCAGTCTGTATACACCAGTCTAGAAAGTGGGGGATTCTTCAATCCCCTTGTCCTCTACATCCACAGTGCTTTTGGGCAGGAGAATGAAGATGGTTGTCAGAGGAATCAGACAGGGAGGATCTAGGCATGTTGAGGTGGGGGATAGGTTGGGGGAGGGGTGTGAGGATCTGAATGTGTCCCCAAATCTGTGTATTGGAGCCTTAATCCCCAGTGCAGCAATGGTGGGAGATGGAAGCTTTAGGTCATGAGGGCTCTGCTTTCTCAAAAGGATTGATGCTGTTAGCACAGAAGTGGTTTCATTATTGTGAAAGTAGTGTCCCTGTAGAGACATTACGAGTTTCTCTCTCTGTTACAACACTTGTAACATACTTGGACCTCCCAGCTTCCAGAACCATAAGCCTATACATTTCTGTTCTTTTTGAATTACCCAGTCGCAGGAATTCTGTCACAACATCACACAACACACTTAGCTGGAAGGGGAGGGAGGCAAAGTTCCCAATAAATCTGGACCCCACAGACTGCAAATTTACCACTCAGAAGGGCCTGCCAGAGTCTGACTCTTCACTCTTGAAGAAGAGCAAACACACGAGGAATGTTTCTCACACGGGAAACAAAGAGGAGATATTTAAGAAGACCGCTGACAGTGAAAAATACTTTTAAAGTGGACACATTCAGCTAGGTGTGGTGGCACCCGGTAATTCCCGTAACTCAGAAGCCTGAGGCAAGAGGGTCACAGGTTCAAAGCCAGCCTAAGCAAGTTAGTGAAACCCTGTCTCAAAAAAAATAAATAAATAAAAAGGACTGGGGATGTATCTCAGTCATAAGAGTGCCCCTGGTTCAATCCCCAGTACCAAAAAAAAAAAATAAATAAATCAAAATTAATATTGATATATATATATTGATCTATATATGTACTTATATACATATATATATATACACACACCTATATATGTCCACATGTATATTTAAGAAAAGATATTGTATCCAAGAAATCCAAGAAACAAGAACAGAAAACAAGAAATGGATTTCAGTAGCATAGGATACCTATGGAACTACCAAAATCCATTCTTTTACCTATGTCAACAAATGTTGACAGAAAGACAGAAAGATCAATTGAATAGTGTGAGATACGGTTTTACCACAAGTCTTACACTTATGAAATTCTTAGCGCCTCCTATACAAGCAATTTTCTAAAGCTATCTCTGATTTTCAAGGAAAATTAAAGTCTATTTTTCTATTATTAAACAAAATTAATTACTATATGCAACGGTAATAATAGCATTAATTAATGGCCATAAAATTAGCATTACACAAATGTTCAGTCTGTACATAATGGAAGCCCTTCATTCTTGGGACTCACAGCACTTAGCACTCACCCTCCCTATCCCACACCCTGAGCTTTTACTAGGAAAGGGCTGGGGAACAGAGGGGAGAAGAAGAAACAAGCATCCCCACTCAGGTTGGACAGTTATCCTAATTTGGAAAGGTAATGAAGACTGCCTTGGAATGATGATCATTTCTCACAGGAGCTAGGGAAATCTCAAATGCCAAGTTTATGGACTCTTTGCTAGAGCTGCTCTTCTAGAATCAGAAAATTGCTTGGGCCCTGGCTAAATGGAATTTGGACTCATGTTGAACTTTGGAACTCAAATGAAAGCATTCACACATTTCTCATTTTGATTCATTTTCAGACTATTTGAGTTAACTGAACTCTGCGCAGTTACTCAATTTCGCCTAGCCTCCTAGATAGTCTGCAGTCTGATATGCTAAAACAATCATATGAATAACACCAACACTTACACTTTACTTTAATGGTTTGCAAAATGTCTTCTCATCCTTTCTCTCTGTGGCTCTTTCAGTCATCCTGTGAGTTGGCACCAGCGAGACAGGGATCATTATGATGATGCTAATTTGACAAATGAGGACGATGAGACTCAGGGGAGAGTCGTGTGTCCAATTATACCCATTATACTGAGAGTTAAACTGCAATTCAAATTCAGTTCTTGCAAGGTCACATTCATATTAGTATATAAACAGGGAAATGTGCATGTTTTTATGACACTGGTAGGTGTGCCAATTGGTGTGATGTTTCTGGCAGTAAGAATCAAAAACTTTCAAATAGGGCTAGGAGTGTTGCTTAGGGGGAGAGCTCTTGTTTAGCAAGTACAAGCCTTAAAAACTCTGTTTTAGTCAGCTCAGGCCATGATAACAAACAGACTACAGGGAAGAAAGGTTCATTAACAGAAATTTATTTCTTGCAGTTCTGAGCTGAGAAGTCCAAGGTCAAGGTGATTCTGCTTTTGCTGCTCTCTGCCTTGCAGAAGGCCACCTGCTTGCTCTTTCCTCACATGACCTTCTCCTTGTCTGTGCAGGGAGAAAGCGAGCTCTCTGCTATCTCTTCTGTAAGGACTCTAATCTAATCAGATAGGTGCCCCACCCTCTGATCTCACTTAACAACTTCTTTAAAGGGCCTCTCTCCAAATAGAGTCACATTGAGAGGACCTCAACATTTTAATCTTAGGGGCCACAAACATTTAGAATATAACAATATGCACCCCTTTTGAGCTGGTGATTCCCCTGCTAGGAGATTAACTAAAAAAACAATTCAGTGCATTTACCAAAATATATTACCAAGGATGTTTCTTGAAAGCAATATTGTTGGACATAATACTTTTCATTTCTGAACTTTGGTTTACTCATACCCAAAAAGAGAGATAACAGCAATACATACTGCAGGGAGCTATGTATATAATGAAAGTCTGACACAGTACCTAGAATATACAGCTTCCACATCAGTTAAAATATTTCCATTAGCCATGAACAGAATACTCAACAAAATCATTCCAGAAATGACATTGGTTAATTTCGCAATTCAATAGTCAGGGCTTTGCTTTAGCTTCACCTGTTGTTTTCATAACTTTACTTCCTCATGGTCTCAAGACAGCTGCTACAGCTCTACCTTTCACAACTTCCAAAGGCAGGTCAAGTGGCAGGATAAGGAAATTTTCTCAGAAGCTCTCAGCAGGCTCTCCCAGAATTGTGTTACTTGCCTACCCTAAGTCACTCCAAAAAGAGACAGAGTTATCATAGTTAACTTAAACTAGTTATATAGCTAAAAATAATTTAAAATGGGGATACACGTGGAAAATCACTTTCGGGTAGGCTACTAGCCATGTCTCCACTGTTTCCTTCTATTCCTGAGATTTCTTCTTCTGTCTCAGACCAAACCTCTTTCTAATTCAGAGTTTGATACACCTCAGGCTTTAAATGCTAACACCTTCGTCCTCTTAGCAATCAGTCCTACGGCTCTGAATTCTCTTTTCTCTAATCAAGCCACAGCTTGGGTAAGACTGGTCAAAGCAACTCTGAAATAGCAGGGCAGGATCTAAAAGGCCTGGCAGTGTTGACAAGTCCTCAGGAGGGAGCTCTGGGACAGACAGCAAGGCAGAGGCCTGCTCCAACAGATTGGCTACACTAGAGGGTCTGGGTCCCAAGAGCTCAGTGGCCAGAACCAGCCAAAGGTAGGAACGTCTGGAACACAGAGCCAAACAAAGTGCACTGAACAGGGCTTGAACATCCTGCCAGAGGAACCAGTAGCAGCAGTGTTCCATTCTAAACTTCACACACTGGACTTCAGCCTGATCCTCTAGCCAGAGGTTGTGCCACAGGGTTGCCACACATGGAGGGCAGATACTAACAATGCAGGGGACCCAAAGGAGCACATGGGACGAAAACGCACTCAGCAGTGCTCTCTCAGCCATGATCCCCTTGCCAGGCCCCATCTACCTGGGAAAGGGGACACATTTTTCTGAATATTAATTCCATTTGGTGCTTATGAAAGTCTCTGAGCCTCACCAACCTCTGGGCCACCCAGAAGAAGGAGGCTTTTCCTTTTTTATGAAGGACCTTTGGGTTACCTGCACCCCTGGCTGGCTTGATCCTAGAGCCTAGAAATGAGAAGTCAGGGAAGTTCAAGAGACCCCAGCTCTGAGAAAAGCAAAAAAGGCCGGGAACTGGTCAAGCTAAGACTCTCAGTGGTATTTGAAGAAGAGGAACGCACAGAGAGAAGGATTTGTTTCTGTCTTGTCTTGCACTAAAATGGAGTCTCCTGTAACTCTCTTCTACCCAACTTCTCTCCAGATAAACAGGTCTCCCTCTAGAGGATCCCGTAACATTTAAATGTCCTTGGGATTATTAATCATGCCTTGCACGTTCTGGAGTATTTATTCCTTCTATTAAAATGTTATGTTTCTCAAAAAAAAAAAAAATCACTGACCACATATTACTTGGATTAGTGTGTACAGAGAAACTCCTTCTTGACCTTGTCTTTTCAGTTTTCAGCTCAGAGATGGAGGAAGCTCAGTGGACAGTGACAGGAGAAATGAAGGGCCGATCTGA